GCAAGTGGCATTTAGATGTGCCGTGGTACAGTCCCTGAAACGTTCTACTTTCCCACTTGAACGGTGAGCGAACGCTGAACGAACGGTGAACGAACGCTGAACGAACGCAGAGCGAACGGTCAGTGAACGATGTGTGAACGCTGAACGCAACTTGGTGAACGATGTGTGAACGGTGAACGGTGAGCGAACGCAGAACGCGAACGGAGCGCAAACGCGAACGCAAAGTGAACGGTGAACGAACGGTGAACGCAAGATGAACGATATATTCGGAATGCCTCTGATCTTTTCCTTGCATTGAAATTATTTTATTGTATTATAATGTCAGGTGCCAAAAAATAAATAAATAAATAAATAAATAATTAAACCAATAAATGAATGAATAAATAAGTAAATAAAATAAATTCTCCAAATTGTCCTAAGAAAAACGATTCATGCACATTAAGTTTTAATCACACGATTTTTAACGCATTAAAACATTGCAATGGTTGCCGAACGCTGAAGTATAAAAGATATTTTTTTAGTTGGAAAATAAAAATGTTTATTCTTATTTGATAACAAATCAGAGAAAACTTCTGACTTATAGAATGATTTAAAGCGATTGTAACATCCATTCATATATCTCCGTGTCAAGGCGATTTCATGTAAAGTAATGAAAAAAAATTAATTACAAAGATCAGTGGACGTTTTGCATTTATACGCTGGTATTTTAATTTTTTAATACAATAATATATTGTGTGTCATTTCTATTTTTCATGATGATTTATTGAGCAGACTTCTACATGTATCTGTAGATGGCCGTGATTATACTCGGACAAGATAATACAAAGATACATATTCATATTATTTGTTATAAATTCAATTTTCAGAACTTGATATTTAAGTAATATGCTGTTATAATTTTTATTAAACAGACAAATATGAGAGAGAGAGAGAGAGAGAGAGAGAGAGAGAGAGAGAGAGAGATTCCGTTTTAGCCCCCCCCCTTCCTTTCAGGCTTCACTAAATGTTTGTACCTATATCAAACAATAACTCTGAAATTGTTTTCTAAATATATTATACAGTGAAAGTAACTTTTTTTTTTTAATCAACAAATCATATCCATCTGTTTGACAGTATTACTCGTTTTTATTTTCCTGCCTCAAGTTCACACGAAGTCCACGTGCTTGTCCTGTCAATCAAAATCATTTGACACTGTGCAGGTGTGAAAGTTTCGTCACATCGAAGACGAAGTGCGAGTATTTCCAACAAGTTATAACATTTATTTTTATCATTTCTAGATTTGATACCAACATTTGAATAATAAATGAATAAAATATATTGGGCATTAACACTTGAATTTGAAACATACTCTCTGCCAATTTCAAATACCACCGCCGACACGTGTACATTTTGAACTACTATTGCTTTGTGACTTTTTTAGATGCATGTTTGTTTTGAGACTGAAATTTTTGTTCTAAAAAAGACCTTAACGTTTTTTAAACAGGTTAATTAAATTTTTCTGGAAATACAGTACTGACTAAGTAACCGATTTAGGGGAAAGGGGGGTGGGGGGGGGGTATTAATCATATCGAATGGCAAACATATAAAGTTACGGTGAAGAAAGAATTTTTTTTCTCTATAACTATAGACTTTACTTACATGTATTATAGTAGCGAAAATTCTGTAGTGCATTACATTTTAAATAAATATTTCCTTTAAACACACTATCAATTTAATTCGTTCCAAAGATAATAAATTAACAGGATATCCGCAGTACTATGTATAACTCTCAGAACTAGTTCTATCATATTTTCTGTAGTAATTGAATAAAAAAAAACGCGTTAGAAATAAATATTTTCGTAATTTTGCTGCGTAATTATTTGACTTGGATAATTATATCTCCATTAACGATTTGTCGCCTTGAACAAAACAACAAAATGTTGCAGTGCTTGAAGTATTTGCACATTGCCCTTAGTTAAATTTAATATTTCAGCATCGTTCTAGATAAGTACAGAATGAGCTTATAACAACATTTATTTTCCAGAGTAATTTAATAAATAACCTAATAGCTAAGTTAGAATAATAAAAATATATATCTTAGATATTTTCCCCCATGAAATAATGATTCTTTAAACACGATATGTTAGTTATTAAATTAAAAGATCTGTAACTCCTTACCTACAAAAAGATAAGTCCTTTCACTTGGGAGTTCCGAATGGCAATGGAAACTGAACGATAGGTGAACGCTGAACGCAAGGTGAACGCTTTGTGAACGGAACGAAGAGCGAACGCTGAACGCTTTGTGAACGGTGAACGCGAGCGCACGGTGAACGGTGAACGCAAAACTGTGAACGGAGAGCGAACGGTGAACGCACGGTGAACGAACGGTGAACGCACGCTGAACGAACGGTGAACGAACGGTGAGCGAACGGAAAAATGGGGAAGTAGAACGTTTCAGGGACTGTAATATACTAGTCTACATTGGTAGGTGACACCTACATGCTAGCTTGCTTTGGATTTAACACTATTAAAACTTGCACTATATGTTGAAATGATGTTTTGCAAGGAGACCACCATTGCTGAAACTAAAACTAATACTGGAGCCAATGATGGAAAGCGGGGAAAATTCTGGAAAAATTAGGAAAATTGCCAGAAAAAAGTTTAGGGTCGGGGGAATAAAATAGGGACGATCGGGTAACCGGAACCACACATATTTTTTTATTTGGCCTTATTGAATTTTTCTCAGTTGAATATTTAATTGAATATTTTGGCCAGTACAATCACCATTTCAGCTGGGTAAAAGTACCTGGTACTGGTAGATTTGGAAAGGCCTACTGTAATGAATTCGATGATTTTAGAGCAGCTTGCTTTTCATTACATTTCATTACAAGATTGATGTTTATACAGATATCTCACGTATAATTGACAGAAATCTAAATTCATGGCACCAGTCTGGCAAAAAGGTCATATTTTTAAATGTGAATGTACATGTATCAATCTTACATGTACTCCAAATATATGTTCTACGACCTACAGTAGCCTATAATAGTCATAGTGCACATATAGTTTTTCATATTCATCTTCAGTGGTATGAATTGATGAAAAATGTGCCATTATGGTATTCAAATCTACTGTTTTTCAAAGAATCTTTGGCCCTTAGGCTGAAATGGGGCCTTTCATGCTAGCTGATATGACATATGATATGGATTTTAGTAATACGTAAAATTTTCTATGTATTGAGTCAGACCATATCATAAAACTATTTTACAAAAACAAATGCCTTAAAACCATGATAATCTTCCAAAGTAGATGATCTTTTTTTTTACAGTTCATCTTGCCATGAGTGTCTTGCAAGTTGCAGAATCATCTATAGGGGACATAAATCTGTACAGAAAACATGACAGACTCGGATAAAACACCGATTATAAACACAACAGACAAGTCAGAATTAGAGAAGGCTCGGAACAGGATGATCGCCGAGGGATACCGTTACCGGGCAATAGACAACAGTCTGTCAGGAAGTGATTCTGATGATGGTAAAAATAGCAAACCAAGAGGGATGAATGGGGAAAGTGGTGCAAAGGGGATAATTACAGTAGGAGTGGCTGACAATGTTAACAATATCAAATGATAAAGAATGATTGGGGGGAGGGGGTCCAGGGGGGCATACTGTAAAATCACTTTTTTCATTCATGAGAACTTTATTTTTGCGTGGGTTTTGGAATTTTTCACCTATAAAATAGTACTAAAAATCATTGAGAGTTTAGGTACTTTCAGTACATTAATTATTATTGTATTGAACAGTATATTCTAAACCAAATTCAAAGGAAGTGCAAAACATCAAATTTAATGAACTCATAAAATACACTGACAAAAATCTATCCAATGAGTCTGTTTTCATTCCAGTGTCTGTTTGATGTGAATTTAAATTTTGCATTTCAGGAAATTCAGAATTAAAAATCTATGTTTTTAAATTAGAATGCACCCTATGAATTGTACAGCTTTATATGTCATTGCTCAATAATCCAATCAAATTTTACCCGAGGCTCCAATGAAGTGCGAGTAATTGTCTAGTTTGCCAGACCGTGGGATTGTTTTATAATGTTGTAAGGATTTATCTTCTGGCAACTTTCTGTTTATTCTGCTACTGTACAGTATAATTTAAGTACGACTAACCAATTTAAAAGCAGAGTTTAACGTAGGAAGAACTTATTTTATATTTCTGTCATATTTGATAAAAGCTTGTCTTGGTAGTAAGTTAGGAATAAGATTTTTTTAATTTTTTTGGGGGGGGGGGATTGGGGGGGAGGGGAAGAGGATGAGTTGATAACTAACCTGAGACCATGTGATAATTCACGATAGTGCAAGAGGTCCAAAGTTCATTGATTTATAAGAAAATCTGTGTGCTGCATCATTGTAATAATTATATATTGTATTTTGTGAAACAGAATCCCAGAGTTATGTTATACAGTCATGTACATGAAATAGCTACAGGTATTACATATTTACAGTCAAGTCAGTCATAAGCATCTACTGTATAGAATGAGCCTTACATGACTAACAATCATATTTTATTGAAGCTTTGAAAATAAAATACATTTCTTTCCAATCCTTTTAATAATTACCTTAAAGTGTGGTAATTTGTAAAAGATGACCACATGTCAAATGTAACATTTTAATAACAATTTCTGAGAGGTCACTTAGTACAGCTTTGATTGTGGTAAATTACAATATGTTAGTACATTGCTATCATTATGTATCATATGGTATCATGATTATGGTAAATGTTATACTGTACAAGTATTTCATTGTGTTACAAATATTGCATTTCTTAAAAATGAGGTACATGCATATCTATCTTAAATGTTACCTTGTATTACATTTGTTACATTCGATATACATGTAAATGTGCTAATATGTCATACTGTTAAAAATATTACATGCAGTATAAATATGGTATGTTATATTACATTATCATTATTATATTACAATTATTACAGATTACAAATTACAAATTACAGATACAGTAAAGAAAAAGAGAAATGGAAGACGACCTATATCACAGTGGTGTATCTTTGTACTCCTGGGTCTGGCTGTTATTATTATTGCAGTTCTAACCGGGCTCATTGTGTGGCAGCATCTACAGAAATCCAAACACAAGCAGGTAGAATGCTTCACCATAAATATCACCAGCACATATAATTTTTGTAATGTCTGTCCTTCTTCATCTGCCTAGCTGTCTGTCTGTCTGTCCCTCTGTCATACTTTGCAATTAGCTCAGTTGCCAAGAAACTGTTCAAGATATTTTTATCAAAATTTATATCTGATTCAAGATATATATTGGTGAGAGTAATTGAACTGAGTCATAGTTTTCTGGCCTTGACCATTCCTTTGACCTTAACCCTTAACATTTTTCAATCATGAAACTTGATACACTGATACAGTCCCTGAAACGTTCTACTTTCCCATTTTTCCGTTCGCTCACCGTTCGTTCACCGTTCGTTCAGCGTGCGTTCACCGTTCGTTCACCGTGCGTTCACCGTTCGCTCTCCGTTCACAGTTTTGCGTTCACCGTTCACCGTGCGCTCGCGTTCACCGTTCACAAAGCGTTCAGCGTTCGCTCTTCGTTCCGTTCACTTTGCGTTCACCTTGCGTTCAGCGTTCACCTATCGTTCAGTTTTCATTGCCATTCGGAACTCCCAAGTGAAAGGACTTATCTTTTTGTAGGTAAGGAGTTACAGATTTTTTAATTTAATAACTAACATATCGTGTTTGAAGAATCATTATTTCATGGGGGAAAATATCTAAGATATATATTTTTATTATTCTAACTTAGCTATTAGGTTATTTATTAAATTACTCTGGAAAATAAATGTTGTTATAAGCACATTCTGTACCTATGTAGAACGATGCTGAAATACTAAATTTAACTAAGGGCAATTTTGTTGTTTTGTTAAAGACGACAAATCGTTAATGGAGATATAATTATCCAAGTCAAATAATTACGCAGCAAAATTACGAAAATATTTATTTCTAACGCGTTTTTTAATTCAGTTACTACAGAAAATATGATAGAACTAGTTCTGAGAGTTATACATAGTACTGCGGATATCCTGTTAATTTATTATCTTTGGAGCGAATTAAATTGATAGTGTATTTAAAGGAAATATTTATTTAAAATGTAATGCACTACAGAATTTTCGCTACTATAATACATGTATGTAAAGTCTATAGTTATAGAGAAAAAAATTCTTTCTTCACCGTAACTTTATATGTTTGCCATTCGATATGATTAAGCCCCCCCCCCCCCTTTCCCCTTAATCGGTTACTTAGTCAGTACTGTATTTCCAGAAAATTTTAATTAACCTGTTTAAAAAAGTTAGGGTCTTTTTTAGAACAAAAATTTCAGTCTCAAAACAAACATGCATCTAAAAAAGTCACAAAACAATAGTAGTTCACAATGTACACGTGTCGGCGGTGGTATTTGAAATTGGCAGAGAGTATGTTTCAAATTCAAGTGTTAATGCCCAATATATTTTATTCATTTATTATTCAAATGTTGGTATCAAATCTAGAAATGATAAAAATAAATGTTATAACTTGTTGGAAATACTCGCACTTCGTCTTCGATGTGACGAAACTTTCACACCTGCACAGGGTCGAATGATTTTGATTGACAGGACAAGCACGTGGACTTAGTGTGAACTTGAAGCAGGAAAATAAAAACGAGTAATACTGTCAAACAGATGGATATGATTTGTTGATTAAAAAAAAGTTACTTTCACTGCCTAATATATTTAGAAAAAAATTTCAGAGTTATTGTTTGATATAGGTACAAACATTTAGTGAAGCCTGAAAGGAAGGGGGGGGGGGGCTAAAACGGAATCTCTCTCTCTCTCTCATTTGTCTGTTTAATAAAAATTATAACAGCATATTAATTAAATATCAAGTTCTGAAAATTGAATTTATAACAAATAAAATGAATATGTATCTTTGTATTTTCTTGTCCGAGTATAATCACGGCCATCTACAGATACATGTAGAAGTCTGCTCAATAAATCATCATGAAAAATAGAAATGACACATAATATATTATTGTATTAAAAATTTAAAATACGAGCGTATAAATGCAAAACGTCCACTGACCTTTGTAATTAATTTTTTTCATTACTTTACATGAAATCGCCTTGACACGGAGATATATGAATGGATGTTACAATCGCTTTAATTCATTCTATAAGTCAGAAGTTTTCTCTGATTTGTTATCAAATAAGAATAAACATTTTTATTTTCCAACTAAAAAAATTATCTTTTATACTTCAGCGTTCGGCAACAATTGCAATGTTTTAATGCGTTAAAAATCGTATGATTAAAAACTTAATGTGCATGAATCGTCCTTCTTAGGACAATTTTGGAGAATTTATTTTATTTACTTATTTATTCATTCATTTATTGGTTTACTTATTTATTTATTATTATTTTTTTTTTTGGCACCTGACATTATAATACAATAAAATAGTCAATGCAAGGAAAAGATCAGAGGCATTCCGAATATATCGTTCATCTTGCGTTCACAGTTCGTTCACCGTTCACTTTGCGTTCGCGTTTGCGCTCCGTTCGCGTTCTGCGTTCGCTCACCGTTCACCGTTCACACATCGTTCACCAAGTTGCGTTCAGCGTTCACACATCGTTCACTCACCGTTCGCTCTGCGTTCGTTCAGCGTTCGTTCACCGTTCGTTCAGCGTTCGCTCACCGTTCAAGTGGGAAAGTAGAACGTTTCAGGGACTGTACAAATTAGCCATACCAGAATTTTATGACCTTGATCTTTCCCATTACCTTGAACTTCAGTTCATCTTATTGAATTCTAGAGAGGATTATTTTATACACCCCCATACACACATACACAGATAAATCTCTGTGTCTGAGAGCTTTTCATTCTTTATACAGGGATTAATTGTCATTGCAGAAAAAATACAGTGTACTTAAGTATATAAATCCAACTTTTATTTTTTTTAAGGCTATGTCTGTCTCTTTTTCTTCCATTGTATGTGTGTCCATCATCTGTCTCTATATTCATTCATCAACACTTTAGTTGTCTGATAACTTGAACATTTTGGTAAATTTACTACATTGATTGAGGGATCATTAGACTTTTATGCAGTTTCTTACAGCTTAGAGCTTTTGCAAGTCATTGTTTATAAATCAATCCTTGATATTTATGTGTAATTATGTGTGATTACAGTAAAACATGGTTACAGCAAACATGCTTATAATGAATTCATGCTAAGAGCAATGTAATTCTTATTTCTGAAAGTTTTTAAAATAAATACATGTATTATCAACTTATCAAATTATAATGGATTTAAATTGATAATGAATCAATTGAAAATTGTTTGTCCTTGAAATTTTGCTATAAGCTTGTTTTACTGAATAGTCAAACTTCATTATCTCAAAGTCAATGAGGCTGAGAAAAAAAAAACTTGACATGTCAGAGCATTTTACTGAGGGTAAAATCATAAAGAAAATGTGACACTTCCAAGTCACTTCCATATGTCCACGTATTGGAGATGTCGATTTTTGAGACACCAAAGTTTAACTTTACTTACATCATGTGTAAATTTTTATTGATGGTTTGATTTTATTACAGCCTTGTTTATAGCCCTGAATGTGTTCAGGTTATTGTTTACAGCATTTTGTAGATCTATATTGATTGTTTGATTTTTTTTTACAGCCCTGTAACAGACCTGAGTATGTACAGGTTATTGTTTACAGCATTTGTAGATTTTTACTGATGATTTAATTTTTTTTAGCCCTGTTACATGTAAAGACCAAAATGAGTACAGTTATTGTTTACAGCATTTGTAAATCTTTACTTATGAATTGATTTTTTTTACAGACCTTTTACAGCCCTGAAAGTGTTCAGTCCAGTGCCTATATCATGAGTAAGATGGATCAGTCTGTGGACCCGTGCCAGGACTTCTATCAGTATACGTGTGGTAACTGGCTAAAGACAACCAAAATCCCACCCTCCCGGTCTCATTACAGCTTGTTCTCAGAGATAGGGGACCAAAACAATGAAAAAGTTAAAGCTGTGAGTAGTTTTGAAATTGGTGCACATGTAATAAAATAAGTGTTTCTTGCAGATACAGTGAAAGCTGTCTAATCCGACATGCACTGGGAGACAATTTTGTCAGTGTCAGAATATGATTTTGGATTACACAATGTAAAAAAAAATATGGAAAATAGTAAAATGATAACAAAATTTAACGTCAGAATTCACTGTAGGATGCATTGCACAGGTGTCAGATTAGACAGTTTTCAATGTATTTCTCTTTCCTCTCACAAATGTCATTGACAACTTGAAGTGTTTGCCAGTATTTATTATATGAAATACATTAACATTGCTCAAATACACTTTTCAGTGAATTGTATTTTTAGCAAACATGAAAAGATTCTGTTTGTTGATAATTTATTTTTCATGCAAATAAAAATACTGAATTGCTTGATACTTAGATCCTGGAGAGGAGTGGTACAACTTTCATGAACAACCACTCCACAGCCATAGAAAAGGCCAAAACATATTACAGCCTATGTATGGATGAAAAAACCATTGAAAATCAAAGGGTGGATCCAATAATTAAAGTAAGTATGAAAGCCACAAGAGATGCAGAGAGTGGATCTAGTGATAAAGGTAAGTGGTAATACACCATAGAAAATCAATGAATGGTTCAAGAAGTTGAAATAAGAATGAAAATATAGAAAGCTAGGAGTGGATCCGTTGATAAACATTGAGTTATCTCCCCTAGCAAAAGGTCATTCCTTCTTAAGATTTATGTCTAAACCGTGGAAAACCAAGTAGTGGATCTTGATTCTGAAGGAAGGAGTTAATATATAGGTAGTATGTTACAGAGTAAATTTTAATCTCTGTTTACTCTCTTCAATAGACTGAATTGGCACCTTACAGGTGGTATTTTACTGTGTAAAATTTTAGCCTTTGTTTACTCTCCTCAAAATAGTGAGGTAGGACTTAACATATAGGATGTTAGCGAGTAAACTTTAATTTCCATCTACTCTCCTCAATATATTGAAGTAGAATTTTTGATGAACTTGATTTCATTTCATAGTACAACCTAGCAAGAAGTTGTTTAGATGTGACAAGAACTTTGACACACAACCCTGTCTCAGTTACTAAATGTAGGCTGACTGTGAATGAATTTTGAAATGCATTAAATAGTTACTGGCCATGAGGATGTATGCTTTCTACAAGGCATTGGCCCAAATCTAAAATTTACTGGCCGAAGAATCCAACCATCAATTATATCTTATTTCGAGCCATTAGCATGATTAGAGAGGTAGGACATGTCAAGACTTATGTTACTTAATCTGTTTCCTCTCTTTAGTATAGTGGGGTAGGACTTAACATGTGGTATTGTTACATGTAGTGAGTAAACTTTGATCTCCATTCACTCTCCTCAATGTAAGGTTAGACTTTACAAGTGATATTTTACTGATCAAACTTCTCTGTTTACTCTCAATAGAGTAAGGTAGGACTTTACATGTGGTAAGTTACTGATTATACTTTAATCTCCATTTACTCTCTACGGTATAGTCAGATTAAAACTCCATTTACTCTCCACAAGATAGTGAGTTACAATCATTTCTATTTTCAGTTTATACGTGACCTCCATTCCTGGTCTCTGACATCAGCTCATGGTCTGTCATGGTCAGAGGCATCATGGGACTTCCATACAGCACTAACAACTAATCACGCTAAAGGATTTGAGGCCCTGTTTAGTATGGGTGTGGCAGTTGATGACAAGAATAGCAGTCAATATATAATAGAGGTAAGGCTATACAGTGGGATCATTATATTTCCAGATGGTTCAATGTTTCATGTTTCATGGATTTGTTCCTCTCATTATATGACTTAGTATTGCTTACATACTACATATTAACTCATAATTACGACTTATGTAGAGCAGCCTTCACCCACAAACTGACAATATTGATAAATATTGATAATTGTGCAAATTAAATTTTTCATAAGAAACATTTATTCACCATAAAAAGAAAGTATCCCAAGGAAGCAAATTGATTTAAAACAGTCCACAAAAAAATTGACCCTTTTGAATTAAAATAATTCAAAAGTATTTGAAAAAGAGCTGCTTGTACATGAAAGAGAGAAATATGCACTGGGAGAAGGCTTATGTTCCGCTTAAGAGGAGATTATAGCTGGAAGTTGTTCACAACAGAGTTACATGTATTGGCAGTTGTTTTTCATGGGAAAACATTGTTAAGATTAAGTTTGATTTTATTTTGATATAAATTGATTTGCATTGACAAAATATTCTTTCTTTCAGTTTACACAAAGTGGTCTTTCTCTAGCATCTAGAGAAGAATATTTTACAAACCACTCCAGTTACCAGAAGATAAAGACAGGGTTCCTGGAATTTGGTGCTAAATTAGGGCACCTGCTAGGGGGAGATAACTCCTCGGTGTGGACAGGAATGTCTGATATCTACAGTCTAGAGACACAACTAGCTAGTGTAAGTAGTAACATCCTTTATTGTAACAAAATCTGCTCCCTGTATCCAAGAAAATATTTGCCCTTATATTTATTTTGGCCCCTTTTCATCTTTATTGCATGTGGGCGAATTTCAAATTGGCAAACTTAAATGAAAAAAGAGTTGTCTCTTTTAACACTACTGTATCTAGGTGAATTAAAAGTGGGGCAGAATTGTTTGCAAGTGTGATGGGGCAAAAATGACATGGGGTGAAAATAACCTAGTATACAGTATAGGATAATTCTTAAACAATTAGAATTTGTACTTTTCAAGAATTGGTTAGGTGAAACAATGAGCTATTACATGTAAGTGTGGATTAATGATTAATGATACCATCCTCTCCCCCCTCCCCACCCTTTTGTGTCCACAACCACCACCCCCCATATTCTTTCTGAATGGAAATCAGTCTATCTCTGGGGAGACAGAAGCTCAAACAAAATATCATATGGCATTGCATGTTTTTTTGTTTTTTGTTTTTGTTTTTGTTTTTTTAAATAAAATGCATTTGCATTAATTGAATCACAACTTTGTACTTCTTAATGAACTAATTGTAAGCATTCATGAAAAGAGATCATGAACTTGATATTGTATTTTGTAGATACATGTTCCAAAAGAAGAATTACTAGATCCTACCAAGACTTATCATAAAATGACAGTCTCAGAATTCCAGACTCTGATCGGTTCATCTGTATGTTGACAATTTTTTTCATTGGTTCCTCTTTAAGTAACCTTTATTCCCATTGGTTAATCAGATATTTACAGATACAGCTGAACTTTGGTAACTCCAACATTGATATCTTATATACCATGGATATATCAAAGTGATTTTGTAGTCCCAGATGCTAATTTCTTAAGTACTTTACTTTCTATATCTCAAATCCTCTGAGATATCTCAAAATATTTTGTCAGGCCCATCAAGTTCAAGGAACAAGGTTTGACTGTATATGGTGAATTAATTACAAATTGATAATTATTGATTTTCAGATTAAACTGACCCAGTACCTGAAATCATTGTTTGGGAGGGAGCTGGAGGATGTAGCTGTTCTGGTACACACCCCCAAGTACTTCCGGCAGCTGGGAGGTGTTCTAGCTAAAACTCCTAAAAGGTATACCACTTCTAAACCTCATGCTTACATGTATAACTTGTCATTATATGTATTGGGTTTGATTTAATCACAGTTAAACTTATTACTGTTGATTTTATTGGGACTATTTGATCTGAGTATTACTTATATATCAAAGACATTCAATTTTATGCAATTGTATTGAAGGTAAGCTTAAGGTTCATAAACCCTCTGTTCCCTCAAATAAAATGTTTCTCTAATGTTCATGATTTTCTGAAAGAAAAATATTCTATAATAAGTAAAATGCATCCAATTTTAGCACAGCGGGCAGGGCAAAATTGGACAAAAAGGCATTTAAACTTGACAAATTTATAAAGGAATAATAGACATTCATCCAATTAAGAGTTATCTCCCTTATCAGAGTATCATCGATCCTTAAGATTGAGTTTTCTGTGATACTAATATAACAGATCACTACTGTAACAGCAGTGTTTGAAACTCACCATAAATTTAGCTAGACATGCAGGGCCGACTGCTAGTGAAAGTTGTCAGCCCTGCCAAAAATCTACTAACCCGAGAAAATAATTGTCTTTTATAAATTTGTTTCTTGCAGTAATTTGAATTTGGGGATCAAATCATCAAAACTTTAATCTCGAATCTATAGGCTGACGAATTCTATCTTTTTGCTAATGTAACACATTGCTACCAATTACCATTAGTTGATTTGAGAAAGAGTAATCAAATTAATGAATTGTAATTCATGGGAAATTTGAACAAGTCCAGCCAGGCGTTTATATGTGCAAATTTGTAAGCCCCCGGCAAACTTCGTGTGTCCCAGGCAGTCGGGCACACTGTTATTTCAAACAATGGAAACTGGTTAAGCTAATTATCACTGTGACAGTAATAGGCCTCTTTTATTTATTTATAGTTTAAGTTTATAATATTTTACATTTCGTTCTCATTTTGCCAGAATTGTATCATTTAACAGTGTCCATTATTACACGTCAGATATTAAGACTTAGATATATATTGTGGAAATTATTTTTGCAACGTGTAACAATGAGCAATGTTTTTAATCATCCAGGACTCTAGCTAACTACATTGTGTGGAATGCCCTGAATTCCCAGGTGGGCTATTTTCCCGCAGAGTTTGTGGAGGCTGGCCTCCTTTTGAGTAAGGTGGAGAGTGGAATCAAGGGACTTGATCCCCGTTGGCAGCGATGTATCAGCAAGGTCAACATTGCGTTTGGGTTTGCCTCTAGCGCCCTCTATGTTCAGGAGTATTTTGCCAAGGATAGTAAATCTAAGGTAAAGGGCAGTAATTTTTAAAGTTGTGACCTCAAACTATATAGTTCTGCAGTCTATGTTTTTGGTATGAAAATTTAATTAAAAAACAGAAATATTAAAGTTTACTTTAAGTTACAATAGTTACATGAAGTTTTGAAAAGAAAGTAACTATAATTGCAAGGTGAATCTTCAGTTATAGGTTGACATTTATATTATGGGGTTTTTCAAATTATAATCGTGAATATTGGCACGAGTTGGCTATACAAATGCACAAGCTAAAACATTTCCAATTGATTTATTTTAATTATTTCAATTAAATAGATCAAAATTAATGAGAATTTACCAGTATCAGTATTCTAATCAAAACTGTGCTATGACATTGTCTTTCCTGTAAGCGTTCAATATTACTTCATTCCAGTGACCCTACTAAGCGTTATGGTTTGCTAATTGAGATTTTGAGACTAATAGGTACTAAATTATGAAAAATAACATCAAATTTGTGTGGAAAGACACATATTACCTAGCTACCACTATCTTCATAAATATTGCTGTCGGGAGGTTGACCAGGGAGGTTGACCAGATGATATTTTTTGTTTAAAACAGGGTGATCAATATTGAACAATCATATTCGGAATGTTTCGGGACATACTCGTATGTACCTAATGCAAACTCGGCATTCAATAAAATGTCAAGATATTGCACGCTAAAATTCTCTAGACTTTTAGTAGTTTTTAGCTCTACTGGTCAGAGACCAGAAGAGCTTATGCGATAGTAAGGTGTCCGTCGTCCGTCCGTCTGTCTGTCTGTCTGTCTGTCTGTCCGTCTGTCTGTAAACAATTTTTCAAAACGCTACTCCTCCTACAGTTTTGGTCCGATTTCAATATAACTTGGCACACAAGTAGACTACACTAAGATACATAATTTAGTGCATCGGTTTTTGATTTTGATGGACAGTGTTGCCATGGTTACTAAAAATAGAAATTTCTGTGAAATTCCTTTAAAACGCTACTCCTCCTACAGTATTGGTCCGATTTCAATATAACTTGGCACACAAGTAGACTACACTAAGATACATAATTAAGTGCATCGGTTTTTGATTTCGATGGACAGTGTTGCCATGGTTACTAAAAATAGAAATTTCTGTGAAATTCCTTTAAAACGCTACTCCTCCTACAGTTTTGGTCCGATTTCAATATAACTTGGCACACAAGTAGACTACACTAAGATACATAATATAGTGCATCGGTTTTTGATTTTGATGGACGGTGTTGCCATGGTTACTAAAAATAGAAATTTCTGTGAAATTCCTTTAAAACGCTACTCTTCCTACAGTTTAGGTCCGATTTCAATATAACTTGGCACACAAGTAGACAACACTAAGATACATAATTTAGTGCATCGGTTTTTGATTTCGATGGACGGTGTTGCCATGGTTACTAAAAATAGAAATTTCTGTGAAATTCCTTTAAAACGCTACTCTTCCTACAGTTTTAGTCTGATTTCAATATAACTTGGCACACAAGTAGACTACACTAAGATACATAATTTAGTGCATCGGTTTTTGATTTTGATGGACGGTGTTGCCATGGTTACTAAAAATAGAAATTTCTGTGAAATTCCTTTAAAACGCTACTCCTCCTACAGTTTTGGTCCGATTTCAATATAACTTGGCACACAAGTAGACTACACTAAGATACATAATTTAGTGCATCGGTTTTTGATTTTGATGGACGGTGTTGCCATGGTTACTAAAAATAGAAATTTCTGTGAAATTCCTTTAAAACGCTACTCCTCCTACAGTTTTGGTCCGATTTCAATATAACTTGGCTTACAAGTAGACAACACTAAGATACATAATTTAGTGCATCGGTTTTTGATTTTGATGGACGGTGTTGCCATGGTTACTAAAAATAGAAATTTCTGTGAAATTCCTTTAAAACGCTACTCCTCCTTCAGTTTTGGTCCGATTTCAATATAACTTGGCACACAAGTAGACTACACTAAGATACATAATTTATTGCATCGGTTTTTGAATTCAATGGACGGTGTTGCCATGGTTACTAAAAATAGAAATTTCTCTGAAATTCCTTTAAAACACTACTCCTGCTACAGTTTTAGTCTGCTTCTAATATAAATAGGCATACAAGAAGACTTTACTAAGATACATAATTTAAGCATTGGTTTTTGAATTCGATGAACAGTGTTGCCGTGGTTACTTAAAATAGAAATTTTTGTGAAATTCACATTAAACGTTACTCCTCCTACAATTTTGGTCTGATTTCAATCTAATTTGGCACACAGTAAGAATACACTACGATACATAATATGTATTTCTGTTTTTTTTTATTTGGGTGAATGGTATTGTCATGGTTACTAAAAATAGAAATTTCCGTGAAATACTTTCAAAACGCTACTCCTCCTACAGTTTTCATTTGATTTCAATATTACTTGGCACAGAAGTAGACTACATTAAGATACATAATTCTATTCATTGTTGCATGTTGCAATGTTTCAAATCCAAGTGCTACTTTTCTTTTGTTATACAAACAGACCAGTAGAGCTACAGTCTCATCAGAGACTTCTGGTTTGGTTGTTAGTTGGTGAACCTGATTGGCTGGTAGTGCTGTTAGGAAATCCCATGATGCCTCAGACCACGACAGACCATGAGCTGAGGTCAAAGACGCTGTTAGCGTGTTTTACTAAACAGGTATAAGAAGATACTGGATGTGAATTACGTCAAGATGCCTTTCCTTATTTTTATAGGTTTTGACTATTGTGAAGGAAGTTGAGGAGGCTTTTATCCGTCATTTGCCAATGGTCTCGTGGATGGATGAACACACGCGACAGATTGCCAAGGAGAAAGTCCAGAAGATTGTAGAAATGATTGGATATCCAGACTGGATTCTAGATACAACAAAACTGGACAAATACTATGAAAATGTGAGTAGATGTTTGAATCTGCAAAAAGAAATATTTGATATATATATATTTGACTTCCTTATTCATCAATGATAGTTTACTCATGGTTTCTTAAATTTTGGATTTAAGGGAGAACACTAAAATATTTATAAATAACTTTGCAAGTTATCCTGCTTATAGGCTACCGTTATGTTATTATGCAAGTTTGGGTATCAACGAGTGTTTATCTTATTCCTTTTAGATAATGAGTCTGACTTATTAAGGGATAACTGAATTTGTTATTTTTCATAAAAAAGTCAAATGAATGTATGTTAAAAAAGGACATGTTCTCATTTTGTACATAATCATATGATTTTCAAGGAAAAAAATCATTTTATTCACAGGTAACAATAGAAGATGGTAAATTTTTCCAGAGTCATCTGAACAGTCTTAGAGAATCTGTTGTGAGGAACTTTAACAAGTTAGGGACTGTACCCGACAGAGAAGAGTACGTATATACATGGCTGTCTTAGATGATTCATGTGTAGCTGCATTTCTGAACCTGTTTTCATTTATCATACAGATTTCATGCTTTATACATACAGTCAAACCTTGTTATCTTGAACTCAATGGGACCAGAATTTAACTTCTAGATAACCAAGGATTTTGAGATAACAAGTGTAAAAATCATTAAAAAAAAGTGGTTGGGACTGACAACACCCTTCAACATAACAATGTTAAGTAAAAGTTGTCTTTACAGATGGCACATGATTCCAACTGAGATCAATGAGTACTGTTCACAGTCGTATAATCAAATTAATATAGAGTTACCTCTCTTTGTTATATAAGTTATCTCTCTTTGTTAAGTAAGAGTTGTCTATCTTTACAGATGGCACATGATTCCAGCCGAGACCAATGCGTACTATTCACAGTCCTATAACCAGATTGTCTTCCCTGCTGCTATCCTGCAGCGGCCCTTCTTTACACCAACATTTCCTACGTGAGCATATGACATTTTTATCAAAAATTTTTAAGGACAGATGATAAATACAATTTTTTTTCAAGAATCTTAAAATTAATAACTAAATTCATGTTTTCATAAGTAAAATGATATAATTAAAAATAATTGCATATTTATGGCCTTTAAAGTGAGAAAAAAAAGTTGTAAAGAAGAATAAGGATGATTTCAGAAAGATAAGATTTTGAATATGATAGAAATGTAGGACTACATGTATTTCTTACCATTTTAGAAATTTTATATTTGTGTCATTTACAACCAAAATAAGTCAAAAAAGATATATATCAATGTAGAATTGTTTTTTTTTTTATATCATGTTATCATAGTAGTACATGTTTTCAAGCATTTTTAATTTTTTTTCTTTTTTAGGTCTTTCAATTTTGGGACTGCTGGGATGATTATTGGCCATGAAATGACTCATGGATTTGACAATGAGGGTAAAAAAATCAATTAAATTCTTTGACTTATTCATGGATATTCAATGAAGGATTTTTTTCTCCTTGTAAATTTTTAATTGAAATCAAATTATTCACAAGAATTTTTTTTTCAAGTTTTGAAGAACTTTTTTCTGCATTTAGCCATTTACATAAGTATGCTAATCAACTTGTATCAGTACTTTTCAGTACTTTGTGATTTTTTCCAGGTCGCCATTATGATAAGTATGGTAATCTTAATAACTGGTGGTCCAACCAATCAGCATTGAGCTTCCAGAAAGAGACATCCTGTATGGTCAAACAATACTCTGCCTACACTGCTGAGAATACTCATGTAAGTGAGCTATATGTCTGAAGTGTTTACAATGCAGTTCAGTAAAAGCTTCTCAACATGAAAATGCGATGAATTTGAAACCTCAGTGTTTGAGATATTATAAGGATATCAAGATCTTCATATCAGGGATATATATACAGTCAGACTTCAATATTTATATTATGATTTGACCATTAAAATCTCTCAGATATCTCAATGTCTGAGATGATGAAGTTGAGAGCTGAATTTGTAGTTGAAATCTTTGACTCATTTTAACATACAACGTAAAAAAAATTCAAGTATATATGTCACTGTCTTGTCCTGTAGTTGAAGGGAGAGCGAGTTTTGGGGGAGAATATTGCGGATAATGGAGGACTGAAGATGGCCTATGCAGCATATAAATTCTGGGAAAAGTCACATAGGTCGACAGAGGTCACAGATCTTCCAGGGCTTGGTCTCACTCCAGAACAGCTGTTTTTTGTTGGCTTTGGTCAGGTAGGGGTCATGCTGTAATCTACAACATTTATGCAAAACTTTGTACTGTCAAACCTTGTTATCTTGAACTCATTAAAGCAAAAAAGGATATGACAAAAATGATATCCAAGGATTCGAGATATCCAGGGTAAAATACTTAAAGATTTTCAAATCACTTTGACCTATCATAGTATTCAAGATATCAGTTTTTTTCGAGATTCCAAAGTTTAACTGTATCTTCAAGAATTATATAGTACGAGGGGTTATCAAAAAGTTCGTGGACTGATGCGATAAAGTTAATTCTATGTAGTCTGTGCTTACAAAATTTATGAAAAACATAAATCAACAAAAGTTTAAGAAATGTTGAAAATTTTAACTTGATACCTTGATAATTTGCCAAATTATTCAAAAATAAAAAAGACATTATATGATCAACCGGCGCTGTCGCCGTTTAGTTTCATGACGTCCGACAACGTCATTGTTTCTCAATGTCCGCTCCGTCTACCTTATTCACTTATCTTGATGTGATTACCTGGAGTTAAGTAAGGACTTAAGTCCATCTTGTTTATGTGACTTTACAATGTCATGAACAGCTGCTTTCAATGCATATAATATTGTAAATGTATCTATACATAAGGAAAGATCCCCACTTGATTATACCAGAATACTTAGCTTGATGGAGTTCAATTTCTACCACACATGATCAACGTCACTTTTCGACGTGACTGATTTTTGACACCCTCACTACAAACTGACTTTAACTGTGCATCTTTCATCTCTCTTAATCTTTTTGGCTATTTAAAACGAGTACTCTGGATGTGTTTTATTTTTCTGTAGCCCATTTAAACATTCCCTAGGTCTATAACAGTTTTTCCAGGTGCGAAACTTTGAAGAATGTTAGAAACAGAAACCCCTCCCCCTTTTTGACGTCATTTTTGATCCCTTAATTGTTTGTACACTCCATACAAATTTACGATAAAATTTCATAGAATTTACAGAATGGGGTAAAAATTGCAAATTTTACGGAAGAATTGTGTTATACCACATGCCTGGATTAACCGGTTTTTTTGATGACAAATGCTCATATCAAAAGAGTTTTTCGCAGTTACACTCAGGTAGAAAAATGTAATATTTGAGGTTGCGCCGCTTGGACATACCATTGCTTACAAAAACAATAACAATTTATTAAAAAATGAAAATTGTGATTTATGGTTTATTCTATCGATAGAAAAGATGATGCTAACTAAATGTATTAAAATTCATTGATGTACCTAAAGCGGTTTTAATTTTATGGCGCTAGTCCACGAACTTTTTGATAACCCCTCGTATATAACTATTTTTTATTAATGCTTGTTTGTTTGTAGCTTTGGTGTTCTTACTACACACCTCAGTACCTAAAGCAAGCCATACTGACTGATCCTCACACTATAGGAAAATTTAGGTCAGAAATGTCCTGATAATTAATGTAGTCATTTATCATTATTAACAATGTTTTGATAATAGAGAACCCAAAATCTTTTAGCATGATATCAAGCTTAATTTCTGTTTCATAAACTTAATTTCAAAACTTTTGTCTGAATTTTTTGGAAATAAAGTTCATGAAAATATACCGGTATTAATATTTAATTTAAAGACTTGCTTATTTTGCAGGACAATAGGAGTGGTTTCCAATTCAGGTGATTTTGCTCGAGCTTTTAACTGTCCTCCAAACTCTCCCATGAATCCACAAACTAAGTGCCAAGTTTGGTGAAATTCTGTTCATTCCATGATGTCTGTGATTAATTACTTCATTCCAGAATTTTTTTAACTGCCAAAAAAATTGGCCATTTTCTTAGATGGTGTGTTTTAAGTTCTCAAGAGCTGATATTAGAACAATTTGTTTTATTTAAAGTATTTTCATTTTTTGTGACCATAAGCCTCAAAAATAGTGCATATTGATTATTGTGTGTGTTTATCTGTCCAAAACTTTATTCTGAAACTTATTTTTATCTGCATTGATAACATATAGAAGTGTCACACCTTGTTTTGCACTTGTTTTTATAGATCTCATTTGAATTGTTGATATCTTGAAGTACATGTACGTTACAGGAAGTATATTTTTTTATCATTATAGATTATTTATTTTGTTCTAAGCCCCTCCAACTTCTAAGATAAAGCTTGTTATATTTACATTTACCAATGTTTTGTCTATAATAAACATACTTACCCTTAATATCTGGGTTAAACCTTCATAGACCACATTGCATCTTATGTGACCTTTGACCTATTTGTCCTTTTTCTGGTTCAAAGGTCTTGCCTTGTACATGTATATAAATTAGTATAGGATACACGTTGTGGCCACAGAGAGTAAAGGCATTAAAGTATGTAATTATAGCTTCCATGAAGTATAGTATAATGTTACGTATTACCTGTTTATGTATCTAGGTGTGAGTGAGATGATTTATTTTCTAGTAGATTTGCTGCTCAAGCAAATTTTCATGTGCTTCCAGGTAGTTTAGCCTTTTATAATTCCCAGAGTCCATGCTTTGTGCAACTGTTTAAATGTTGTCATGAAATTATCGCAGACATATCAATCTTTGTGGAAATGATTTTATAAATTGAACCCATGCATCTGATGTTTTGAAGTTGACCCGTTGAAATTTTATTAAATAATAAAGGGCTACATTGTAAAATTATTGTGCATTTTGACCAATAACTGTGATCTCTTTTTTCTCAAATGCAAGTTCATGGAAATCTTTGGAATTTCCAAATTATTTTCTAAATATAAAAAAAAAAAAACACAAACAAACAAAAAGAAAATACAAAAAATATCATTTTTTATGCACATGCACTGAATTGGAGAATTTTTTTTACGATTTGATGACTTGATAGACGACTTTTTCTAGTTCTTTTTTCCCTGTATTTTATACAGTTTCTCAGAAGAAAATCCCCTTTACCATGAAACTCAACATCTCCCTCATTAAGGATTATGACATTCCTGTCCAGACCAGTTTCATTTCAATGCATATATTTTGCTCATGGTCAATAATCATTATGGATTTGAGTCAGAATTACAGACAAACTTTGTTATATCAAACTAGAAAAACCTTCAAGATATCTGAGGATTTGAAATAACAAAGGTAAAAGAAATAATATTAAGTGGTTGGGACTTCCAAATTACTGCGATGTATCCATGGTACTAGTATTTGAGATTTCATTGTTCAAGATACCAAAGTTCAAGTGTATTAGGGCAAATTTCAAGGTCACAGATCCACAGTGACAAAATATTTCCTTGGGCATTTCCCTTGCGATGAAAGGCTAATGCAAATTTAGCATTAGTTGTCGAGGATTTAGACAAGATGAAGTTCACATACTTTATCAACATAAATATAAAATTGTGTTATTTATTATTATTGTGTTATTACAGAAGTTAAATTTGTTTGCTGTACAAATGGTTTATTGTGGAAACGAAGAAAAAAAGTGTTTTGAATATTCACACTGAACATAATTCATGCTGGCCATAAGAATATGAATGCTTTACAGAGTCTAATATTGTGGCAGTACATTTATATGCTTTGAAATACAGAGCAGATGCAATTCTGACTGATCAAGTTCTTCATGTCCAAAACTGGCTGTAAATTCCAGAAAGGATAAGTTTTTTTCTTAATTTTGTTCCTATGAAGGTTCTACAACTTTGTAAGATAGTGAAATCTAGATGATCAAAACGGAATACAGTCATGTTTCTTTCCTAGATGGTCAGATTACGACATATCGTTTAGAGATCTGCATATTAATTAATATTTGTGTACCAAACCTCTCATTGAAATGTGTTTTGCTGCAGGATTTATATGATATCTGTACAATCTTCTGAACTGTTCAAATGACTACCAAGATATGGTTAGTTTGAAAATAAACTGTCTAAATCTTGCATTAAATCTGTTTTTAACTCAACTATTCTCAACTGTAGTTAGACCAGAAATTCTTGTGCAATGCTGTCTGTCAAACGTATGTCCTTACATGTAACAAAATATGCTAACAATATTGATCAGATTTGGATGAAACTGGGAAATAGGCAATTCAATTCCAAGTCAAACAACTGTTACTTTGTTTAGCTCACCTGAGCCGAAGGCTTTCTGATCGAAATTTGTCTGTTGTCTGTTGTAAACTTGTCACATTTTCATCTTCTTCTCCAGAACCACTGGCTGGGCCTATTTCAACCAAACTTGGCTCAGAGTATCTTTGGGTAAGGGGGATTCAAGTTTTTTTTCCAAATTAAGGGCCACACCCTCTTCCAAGGGGAGGTAATTAATATAAGAAATGATGAAAATTGGACGGGATAATTTAAAATCTTCTTCTCAAGAACTACTGGGCCAGAAAATTTGAAACTTATTTGAAAGCTTTCTGGGGTAGTGTAGATTCAATTTTGTTCAAATAATGACCCCCGGGGGTAGGGTTGGGCCACTATGGGCGATCAAATTTTTGCATAGGAATACATAGGAAAAATCTTTAAAATTCTTCTCAAGAACAGTAATGTCATGATTAATGATACATGTATTTATACGGAAGCATCCTCAGGTATTTGTTCAAATCACGACCTCCTGGGGTAGGATGGGGCCACTATGGGCGATCAAAGTTTTACATAGGAATACATAAAGAAAATCTTTAAAATTCTTCTTCTCAAGAACAACAATGTTATGTTTAGTCATAATCATATGGAAGCATCCCCAGGTATTGTACTTTCAAGTTTCCCTAATGACTCTCCGGGGTAGGGAGGGGGCCATGATGGGCGATCAGATTTTAAGAGCCATTCTCTGTAACGACTTGAAATTTTATATAGGAGCTGTGGCACGCATAGTCTCAGAATTTCTCCAAACTCTCTATCATAAAAGTCTTCGATACCGTAAACGCAAATCAGGCAGAAATTGGTTGCTATGTGTCATGGTTACCATGGCAACATGTCCTAGATTTCGAAAAATGGCATTTTTCAACATGTTCAGAGTCCCATAGTTAACGTTTGCAGCAAAGCAAACAAGTGGCAATGATTGTTTCTGAAAGTTGAAGGCCTGATGTTTTAAATGCATGATAAACATGTTTGGTAAATCAGCTTTTACATACGTTACTATGGAAACAAAGTATTTAAAAGTAATAAATTTGCTCATTTAATTTCATAAAATCATACATTTGAGAATAAAAAAGAAATTATAGGTTGAAATGCAAGCAAATAATAGACAAAAGATCCTTGTAACATATACCAAGGAAGAAATGTGATATTTCTTATAGGTAATTGGCAATGGTTGCCATGGTTTTAATACCAAGAAGGGATTTAAAATTTACTCTCTTGGTGTTTAAATCTAATCCTTTCTTTTTAAAAAGCATATTTTTATATAACTAATGATCAATTTTAAAAGACGTTCGTGTGACTCTAATTTTCACATTTCAAAAAATTCAAATCCAATTCTTTAAATAGAGCGTTGCTATGGAAATAAGCCGAAAAAAATATGCATAAAAATCTGAAAAATATTCTGTTTCCTTGGATACGTACCCTTGTATGCAGATTCCCAAAACTTTTATGATTGATAATTATGAACAACTAACCTGACTTTCAATTTTGACTGCCACCCAGTTTCTAACTGGATGCAAAAATCTGGCACATAGGGTTTAATATTGATATATAATTAACAAAATCGAACATTTTCCCTACTTGGTTACCATAGCAACAATGTTGTATTTTTCAACAAAAGTTATCAATATATAATTTAATTTTGTTTGTATTCTAGCCTCTGATTGGTTAATATCCAAAAAGGAACACAAATTATTTCTGTATAACCTGGTTTGGTATGGGGACCCCCCCCCCCCCCCCCGACAACCAGCTGAATCATCTGTATCCATACAATCCTCTCATTTCCAGTCCTCGGGATTCATGGAAAATTCCAGATTTAATAAATGTACCTTTAACTTAACAATAATTCGATCTTACCACGTGTAAACAAACAACAAGGCTGCCGCTAGGCCTATGCATCAGTTTTTACCTCCCCTCGCTTCCCATCACTTCCGTTACTTCCGTTACTACGGTTGTATGATTGAGCGGCAAATTTGAACTAATAAAAAGCAACGAAATTTTGCACCCTTAGTTATTTCATGATTTTAAAATTAAATTATAAGGAATGACTCTAATTCTTGGCTAAATTATTCGAGTATAACCTGGTTTCGGTCAGTTTACGCTGTTTTATAATCCGCTTCGCGGATTATAAAGCATAAACTGACCCAAACCAGGTTATACTCGAATAATTTAGCCAAGAATTAGAGTCATTCCTCGAATAATTTGGCCCTCGAGTCATTCCTCGAATAATTTGGCCAAGAATTAGAGTCATTCCTAAAATGATATTCAACTTTTGTTCTACCAGATAAGTACTATTCAAGGTGAGTCAAATAATATGTTTCTTGAATAAAAGGTAAGTAAATTCCTAAGGCAGCAAAAAATATCACTTTAAACAACTGGTACATTGTTTCCAGGTTACACTACAAAGTAACAATTAATCCCAATTTTTCTTATGTTGTCGGTGTTGCAAGGTCCTAAGGATGTATGTGTGCCAGTCATGAATATTATTGTTTTTCCTGAAGATAGTAGCATTAACCCAATCTTATCAACATATTTTGCATGGTAACACTGTGTTACCATGGCAACCACGAAAGTTATCTTTTGAATAATATTGCCAATACCTAATTACTTAAGGTTAAATATTTTTATTGTTTTTCTTAAGTTGTTGATTGAGTTTGATCATTTAACACCTATCATTAGTGAATATTGAGCGGTTTTCTGCATTTTTCAGCATCTAAAATGTATTCCAAATGTATCCATGGTTACCACTTACCTAGAGATAAAATTCTAAATAGTTTCTTTATAGCATAAATGGCAACAAGTTGTCAGGTTTTTGTGAGAATGGTTTGTTTGTTTTTCTTAGTCTTTATTAAGGCTTAATAAAGATTCAAAGTAGCTGAAAATCTCAATTTTTCCAACTTTTCTGGCTGCTACCATGGCAACCAAGACACATAGCAACGAAATTTTATTTGCAATATGTTTCTGGTGTCAAGTTGTAATAATGGGCAAAGTTTCGTCAAAATCGGTGACCATGCGTGGCAAAGAAGTTTAAGTGGTTACAGAGAATCGCTATTAAATAGGAATATATAGGAAAAATCTATTGAACAGCAAAGCCATGATTAGTCATATTTATATAGAAGTATCCTCAGGTAATATAGATTTAAGTGTTCTAATCAAGACCCCATGGTGTAGAATTGGGCCTCCGTGGGCAACCAAAGTTATACGTATGAATGCATAGGAAAAATCTTCAAAAGTCTTTTTCTCAAGAACAGCAAAGCTATGATATATATTTATAGATATATTTATATTGAAGCATCTTCAGGTAGTGTAGATTCTAGTTTGTTCAAATCAAGACCCCCGGGGATAGGATGGAGCCACAATGGGCAAAGTTTTACATAAGAATATTTGGGAAAAATCTTTAAAAGTCTTCTTCTTTAGAACAGCAAAGCCATGAATAGTCATATTTATATGGAAACATCCTCAGATTCAAGTCTGTTCAAATCATGACAGCGGAGGTAGGGTGGGGGCACAATATTTTATCTTAATTTTACATAAGAATAATTATGTATAAGGAAAAAATCTGCTGATAAAGAACAGAAGGGACATAGATACTCAGGTGAGCGTAGTGGTCCATGGGCCTCTTGTTTTAAATTGGCAAACACTGCATTGCATGAATTGTTGATAATTAAGGTATTCACAG